CAGTCCTCCTCATAAAACAAAGCAATAGATAAATAAAGGAGCTCCAACTCACTTAACCTGCGTGGCTCTGCGCGCTGCTAATTATTAACCCAGACGCACAAGAGGGGCTCACCCAGAGTGGAGTTAAATCATTTTTAATGGAGGTAAACACTAGCCATGTGGATGAGTAGAGCTCAAGAAACTTTTTAATCAGCAACGTTTAAGAATCACCTCGCCTAATTGCCATAACTTATTAATACTAATAAATAACTGAGTCCACTTTTATGGCACTGGTCTCTGGAGGAATCTGGGGCGTGAGCCTCCCAGTATCTGAGGTGCATGGGGGAGGACAAGAACCTTCACTGCTGATTCTTAACCGAAGAAACCAGACATTGTGGTTCACAAAGGCAAATCTGAGTTCCTTCTTTTTTTATTTTCTTCTTCCCATATCTGAATCCCCAATTTATACATGCCCTTTCATCTATCTATAGGACCAGAATGGCTCCAGGGGCTGGGGGTGGTGGCTACATAACAGGCGCTCTCTTTGTTCACTTGAATGATGGGGTTGAGGGTTTCTCCCTTGGGAAGTGAGTATGAGCAGAGGTTTGTCTGAAAGAGTTCATTTCCTCTGCACAAAAGTCCCTGGTGTCTTCTGGGCTTAACCTCATTGTGGTTAGGGCTGGTGTTGGTTAGATGACCCTGATCCCAAATTTGTACTTCAGTGATTTCTGATTCCTATGAGAACGGAAAAGATGGTGCCGGGCCTTATTATTATTATTTGAAAGCATAATTCCTGACAGCAGATGATTGGAAATTGTTGGCATCAATTATATAATTTCACCTTCACAACATCAGCGCCTAGGAACCTCAGTGACTCCGTGGTTAAAGGCCTTGACTGTTAACCTTAGGGATGATGGTTTCAACCCACCAGCTGCTCCATGGAAAAAAGGTGTGGCAGTCTGCTTCCTTAAAGAGATACAGTCTTAAAAACCCTAGGCGACAGTTCTACTCTGTCAGAATCAACTCAAAGGCCGTGTTTTGTTTTGTGTTTAACACCATGATTATGGGTGTTAGAATATACACAAGTCATGGACAAGGATATTCAAACTCAAGGTGAAAATAACTGTCCCCCCAAAATGATTTATGCTTGGTTAGTCAGATAGGAAAATATAATACTCATAACTGAGGCCCTTTGAGTCTTTATAAATGATCACTGTGGTGGCTCCAAAGGCTAAGCACTGGATTTCAAAGGATAAGGTCAGCAGTTCGAGCTCACCAGCTGTTTCGAGGGAGAAAGATGAGACTTTCTGTTTCCACTAAGATTTAAAGTCTTGGAAACCCTGTATGGGGTCATTATGAGTCAGAACCAAATGGACAACACTTAACAACAACAGCCCTTCGTTCAAAGGGTCAGAGTGGAGGGAGGGTGCGTGGCATTAGGAGTATTTCTATGGTTAATATCCTCAGAAGCCCAGTTTTTGTTGCAGGTAAAATGTATCAAGCTCAGAAACCGCATTTTTCTCACTTTTATTTCTATCTCTGGCCATGAATCATTGGAGACTGAGTCTTGAAGGCTGTTTCAGTCTGGAAAAGTGGTATTTTAAAGAACTTACCCAAGCCATTATTATACAGAGCAAAGAGCTAAATGATGCTAAAGATGGAATGGTTTCTGCCAGAGACCACAAAGGACATAAACTTAGAGTGTAAATTACAAGATAGCGCATGTGCAAAATTGTTGCAATGTTAATATATGTGTGTTTATTAAAATTTACATTTGAATAAAAGGTGCAAAATGTAATTGAAGCTGGAAAAGGTTTTTTTTTTTAATTTTTAATACTAACATGGCTTATAGGAAACTTCGGAGAGATGTTTGGAAGAGAAGACAAGTGTACTTGATACAGATGTGTCTGTTAAAGGATGAACTAAACAATGACATCTAAGGGATTAAGGCCACTCAACCCCGGGCCCAAATTTCCTTCCTCCCTGCCCACTGATACTGTCCAGTGATCCAAATCAGGGCTGAATTTTGAAGGAAGTTCTCTCTGTCAAAGGCCATCGACAGGAGGCTGAGGATTCTGGACGGATGTCCAGACGGGATCCGTGTTTGAAAGGCTAATCTTATTTCACTGATGTTTTCAAGGGTGGAAATTTTTGTCTGTATTCATTAGAGGAGAATGATAAATCTCTAATTTGTACTTTGCTAATAATAGGAATGAGCTTTTGTGCTTCATTAAGGTTAAATGAATCTCATGTCGTCCTAGCTCAGCCTTTAACTCTATGTGTGACCTTGAGAAACATTCTGGAATTTGCTGGGGCTCAGTTTCCTCCTCTGTAAAATGAAGGGGTTGAGCCAGATGAATGATAAGGCAGTGGAACCCACTCTCCCTGCTCCTGTGGGGGAGCACCCTGTGCCAGCCTGTAAGACCCACAAAGGTGACGAAGACACATCGTTCTTATCCTGAAGAGCCCAGGGTCTGCATAAATAACGAATTAGAATCTGAGCTCTAATTGCACATGTTACTGTAGGAGCACTGAAGTGGAAAGTGAGCTTTCTCTCAGCGGGGACAGGGTCTGCAAAGATGCCACTGTGGCAGTGACATGTGAAACCTGAGCAGGTTGGCTCTGACAGGTGTGTACTGGTATTCATGTCTGTGAGCTGGTATTCATGTGCATGGGAAGTGGCTCAGGCTTCTCATGGTTAGCAGTATTCCACACACTGCTTTACTCATGACAAACTAATGAGGTTAGAGAACAGCATAGAACAGGTGCAAATGGGAACAAGTCAAGATTACCCTATGGTGCATTCACACCAATATGGTCCCTTCCCATCCCACTTGACTTTGTGGAGTGGAGGAGAATGGGTGGTGTTTTAGCTAGCTCCTGGGAACTGCGAGCCTGCCGTCTGTCCATCTTAACGTGAACTTAACGTGAGTGTGCCATTGGGAACGTGTGCATAGTATGTGAACGACACCCCTCACAATGTTCTTTTGAAGGGATTGGTCCCTCCTGATAATATGTCTGAAGTGTGACAGACTAAGTCTGGCCATCCTGGTTTCTAAGGAGCATTCTGCTTGTACTTCTTCCAACACAGATTTGTTTGTTCTTTGGGCAGTCCATGGTACTTGGAATATTTTTCTGTGTGTCTGTGGAATGAAACCTGCTCCCATGGGTGTTGCATTCTGTTCATCCACACCATTAATGAGCCCTTAGCTCTTTGTGGCTTCATATGAGCCATTGCCGAAGCATATATTAGATGTTGATGCGATAAGGCTTTCGTTTTTCAAGATAAAAATAACCTTCAGTTTTAGAATTCACATGATCAATGTAAGGTCATGTGCACTGCTAAAAATGGAAATAACTCAGAAATGCCACCACACTATCAGCCGCCCTTGAGTTGATTGTGACTCATGGCAACCCCATGTGTGTCAGAGTAGAGAGGGCTCTATGGAGTTTTCAGTGGTTGTGAATTTTCGGAAGCGGATTCCCAAGCTTTTCCTCTGAGGTGCCTGTAGGTAGATTTGGACCACCTAGGTTTGGTGGTGTGGGTTAATGCTCTGCACTTCCGTGTTGGTTTGAACTGCAAGGTTGGTGGCTCAAGCTTACCAGCAGTTCCTTGGACACCCTATACAGGGTTGCTATAAGTTGGAACTGACTTAACAGCACTTAACAACAACAACAACAACTTTTTGGTTAATATCCAAGACCGTAACCATTTGCACCTCATGATACTAAAAAACAAAACTATGACCCACAGATTCCATCCCCTGGAGAGAAACAATAGTTCCATGAGTCTCCTCATGGACATATTTCTTCATGCATGTTCATTAATGGGCTCAGGTTGTATGTTTGGTTTTGCCATCTGATCATTTCATTCACATGGAATCAAAGGCTTTAAACAATCATGTAAACGGACTGCACCATAATCCATTGTATGTGATAAATTATTTTTAGTTAGGCATCCTATTGACGCACACTTAGGCATTATCTAGTGTTTTGCCAATATGAATAGTGGCATGATGAACACATTTATAGTCTTCTTTTGTATTTGTATTTATTTCATGACATTGAAGTGTTAGAAGGGATATTACTGGATCAAACAAATCACATTTAACATTTCTCTACTCCTGGTGTGGGCATTGTAGGATAAGCTTTGGACTTACCGGTCGGTTTGAACTGCAAGTCCAGTGGTTCAAATGCACCACCCGCTTCTTGGAAAACCCTACACAGGGTTGCTATGAGTTGGAACTGCCTCGATGGCACTTAACAACTAGACAATACCAAACCCATTGATGTCAATACAATTTCAGTTCATATGCCCTCTAAGACAGAGCAGAAGTGTGCTGTGGGGTTTCCACGGCCGTCATCTTTAATCTTTATGAAAACGGATTAATGTGCCTTTCTCTTGCTGAGAGCTGGTGGATTCAACTGTCGACCTTGAGGTTCGAAGTTTAGGGCTGATCCTACAGTGCCACACCAGCAGTTGGTAAGAAGATGGTTTTTGGAATCAGATAGACCTGGATTCAACTCTAGATTCGTCCCTTCCTTCTCTGTGGCTTTGGATGAATTCTTTGCCCTTCTGGGCCCTCAGTTTTCTCCATCCATAAAATGAAGATGATCAATAGGGTCACTGTGAGCAATAATAATGCTAATAAATAGCTGCCATTTTCCGTGTGTATTACGTCCCGGACATTGTTCTAAACCCTTAAAATGCATGACACAATTTATTTAATCTTTTCAGTACCCGTCTGTTTTGTTGCTTCCGGAACTGTAAGTAACAAACACAGTTAGCAAGTGTAGAGCCAGTATTAAACCCAGGAAGTCTGATTCGGGAACCCGAGCCCTTCACCACAGCCTCCCGTTTTAGAGGAAATAATGCCGAAGTGTGTTTAGCAGAGTCAGCAGTGTGCTAACTGTGATTCTCATCCTTGCCACTGTCAGCATCATTATTAATATTTTTCTTCTTTCTCTTTCTCTCCCACCCCTTCCTCCCTCCCGTCCCTGTTGGTCTTTTCTCCTGCCAGATGTTTTTCAGCAAGGTAAGTGTGATGGCAGATTATGGCTTTTTCATTGTCTGTGCTCTTAGGGAACAGGGTGTGTGGGTTTGCAGAGGTCATGGGATTTCATCCCGTGGAGATGTCACATGCCTTTAGGAGCACCCTGAGGACAGTGGCTTGAGGGGCCATCAGCCTCTCTTGGCCTCTGCAGTCCAGCTGTGTCTCTTCCTGTGGATCAGGCATGGGTGTAGTGTGGAGAGCTGGGCCTCTGAGATGGGGTGAGGGAGGTGGGGTCTAGGGTTGGGCCCCTGGAAGGGGCTTGGGAGGCTGATGAAGAGCAGGTATGTGGGAGACAGGCCAGAAAAAAGGCTTCTTGGCAGTGGCTCACCATGTCCCTCCCCAGAGCCATTCCTCAAGCTCCTGTATCAGACCTGGTTGCTGCTCTGGGTGGCTTCCGTGTGACAGCTCATATGCATTGATGTTGTGGGTGTGTGGACAAGAGCCTGGCTTCTTTCCTGCTCTTTCATTGCAGCTGTGCCTCACAACCTCCCAGTGGGACCAGTGATTGAGACAGGGCCAGGTGTGGTGGTTGTGCGGTGTCTTATTGTCCTGTGTCCTCGGAGATGGAAGCGGGAAACCTGAACCCAGACTGTGTCACCTGGCTGTGTTTCAGTCCCCTGCTTAGGATGCACAACCCCTGTGCTCCAACTTGTAAGGTCAGGAAGCAGCATTTCACCTGCCAGACACACATTAAGGGGGCCACCTTTTATCTCGTGTCCCTCACCCTCACAGTTTGAAACGGCTTGAAGAAAGTGGCAGAGCATAACTGTTTGCATGCAGGCTGGGAAAGATGTTTGTAACACCCGTTTGCGTGTCTTTCTTGAATCCTGAGTTGCCTCAGAATAAAAGAGGAGACAGGTTTAAAAATACATCCAGGCCTTCCATAAATAACTCCCAAATAACCTTCCAGACTTGATATTTTCCCAACTGTTATTTCACCGCAAACACGCAGAATGTGATACGGGGCGGTATGTGCCCGCTTTCTATGGAAGACACGCAACTGTGGCTTACAACGAGGGGACTGTTGTATTGTCTTTTCAGAGTCTGGAGTCATAGACCTACTTTTATAAATAATTCATAAATCCCAACAAGCTATAAGTAATAAGTTCCATTTGGCTAGAGACTAAGAGATGAGCAAAATTGAAAAGGTGCCGTGTCTGTTGGTGTAATGAAAGCACAGCTGTCAGGACCCGTTGTAGCCATGAGTGTTCTTCCTTGACAAATTGGAGGTTCAGTGGGACGCTCCCGGAGGAGACGGTGTTTTCTATGAACTAGAAAGCCAGCACCACCCAACGCTGAATTCCATTTCTCTTCTGGAAACAGAACACGTGAGCTTAGGTAGTTTTTCTGCTGGAGCATGCGTGACGACGAGGCTTCTAGAAAAAGGTGGGAGAAGCGGCTGGTATCAGGTGTGGCTTTTCTGGGCACAGTGGTGAGTATTGATGGTTGTTGTCATGGGCTTATCAAAAGGGCTTCTCAGACCACCTCCTTTGTTAATCAGTCATGCCATTTGACAGATGGGATTTGCTTGTCAGTAACAGTGATGCACAGAGCATAAGCTGTAATCATCTACAAATTGCTGGCCATGGAAACCTAATGGCATCTATCGGAGACAGAATTTGCTTGCTACCCTTTATCATGTATGGTGGCTCAATGGATGTTCTCTCCTCTGACATTACTAAGACTTCAAGTGGAGAGAACGGGGCTCGCTTATGTAAATGATTTACATGGACCTGGCCTTACAAGACCATTTCCTGGAGACATAGTTTTTAAACTAATGGTAAAGAACTCAACAGCCCTTGCCCTCCTCCCTGTGTCTTGATTTTGTTTCTGTCCATTCTGCCTATAAAATGAATGCTCAGTGAAATGTACAGCTGGTAGCAGTCACATCAGACCAGCACAGAAGGTTCTATGTCTTGCAGACAAAAATCTAACATGATCTCCACAACCTTTTTGGTGGTTGCAACCCAGCGCCAGAATTATGCCATTAACTGGCAGCGTGGAGGGAGGCATTGTGTTGAAAATAAGCTGCTTATATGACTTCAGGCAAACAGATGCCACCGGGCTGGCCCTGGGAGCACATCCATACAGTGGCGACTCTGAGTGGCATCCAGGCCCTACTTGTTTTGACATGGCTAAAGCATTGTGGGAAATTGAGGAGGTTGTGGGTGAGGAGAGGGAGAATGCTGCTTTGGAAATGTGTTTCCTGCAGAGACTAACTAAGACCCTATCCCCAGAGGAGTCCTGATTTTGGGCTACTGTGCACCATGGCAGGCAGAAGGGGGAGGCAGGCTTGCCGTTGACAACATCAGACATTCTCTGAAGGGAATGCGAGTTATTTTCTCTGGGTCACATTATCCTTTATTTCACTACAGATCAATCTGGTTTCAACCAGTGACAGTACCAGAGCTATTGCTGCGTTTTTCTCTTCGCTATCTGCGGTGTGTGCACGTGGGAGTCAGTTCCTACTCAGCTCCCATGCCTTTCAGATCGCATTTCTGTTCTTTCATCCGTAAATGCCACTTGCAACAGTGTGTCGTCCACTAGGTAGGAGGACAGTCAAGGACTCGTGTGGTCCACAGCTGGGCCTTTTGAAAATGTGAGTTCCAGGAGCCTTAATTGACCCACATTTCCCGTTGTCTACGGAGCCCATGAGATGCTGATGGCTCTCAGAAATTCCAAACTGCTATAGAACCTGCTCTTCACCACATCCAATGCAACGTGTCTAGAATCAGGAGTTTTAGAGCGTTATACCAATCGTTTAATAATGATTTAAGTCAGGACCACACGTGCATGCCTCATTTGAAGTTACTGAAGCACCTTTTGAATGTTTCATCCGTAGGCTGAACCTTGATTCTGAAATTGCACAGAAAACCAAGCCAATGGCTTGGAAATTAGAGCTGTACCCCTCAGCAGGGCATTTTTAAGTGTAAGGGGCACACTGTTGCATTAATTCTCTATGTTATGCTGTGAGCTGAAGTCCCTTAAAGACTTAAGCCCAAAGAGCCAGAGCCTTTCCTTTCCTCCTCCTCACTTCTCACCTGGAGCTGAGATCTTTCTAGTGGGGAGGTCTTATTTGGTCTCCACCTCGAATATCATCCGGTCTTTTATTCTGCCAGGCACCTTCTGGGTCTGAGTGACAGCCAAGGTTTCTCTTCTCATGGAACTTAGCACTTACGTTGGAGAGGCACTGGATGACCCAATATGGAAAGAAAGTAATTGCAGAGAGGGATAAGTGAGACAGAGAAAATAACACAACACAAGGTGATGGGATAGTATCTGGGAAGTCACTTTAAACGGGGTGACCAGGGTAGACAAGGAGGACCAGCCTTGGGGAGGGGAAAATAGAAGGACTTCCAAGGAAAAAATCTTAAGTGAGAACAGCCTAGTGTTCCAGGATAGGAGATTGCTGTGTGACAATGACAAAAAGAAAGGGTGGCAGTCTAGGGTGAAGGCAACGAAGTCGGTGGGGATTTAAGCTGCAGAGTAGCACCATGTCTAACTGCTGGGAAAATGCACAAGAACACACATGAAACGTCAAGACCTGGGCTGAGTGCCAGCAGGGCCTGTGGGAGGGCTGGGATGGGAAGTCAGACCCTGACTACTTCCTTTGGTGACTGTCTGCCCTGGGCAGTGGGAAGGGGTGGGCCCATTCTCAGCCAGCTCATCTCTACTGAGCCTCCCTTTCTGTTGACTTGGCTTGTGGAGATCTGGTGCCCCTGGCAAACTGTGCTCATTAAGACTGACCTCACTACGAGTTCTGCACCAGCCCCATGAATGGTTGCAGATAGGACCTTTGTGCTCTATAGGTTTTTCACTAACTGATCCTTAGAAGTAGGCCAGGACTTTCTTTCTAGTTCTTCTTAGTCTGTAAGCATCACTGAAATCTGTTCTGCATCATAACGACATGTAAGCCTCCACTAATAGATAGGTAGGTAGCTGCATACAAGGTGTGTTATTGTTAAGTGCCCTTTTGGCAGGAGTTGTTGTTGTTGTTAAGTGCGTTGAGTTGATTCAGACTCATAGTAACCCAGTATAGGGTTTCCGAGGAGCAGCTGGTGAGCTTGAAACGCCGACCTTGCAGTTCAAGGGGCTTTGCAGTCTGGTGCATTAACCCACAGCACCACAGAAGGACTCCCTAGAGTCAATATATATATATATGTTGCTGTTGTTGTTAAGTGCTGTAGAGTTGGTTCCAACCCATAGCGACCCTGTATAGGGTTTCTGAGAAGCAGCTGGTGGGTTTGAACCACCAACCTTATGGTTCAAACTGACCTTGTGGTCCATCGCATTATCCTGCGGTGCCACATAGTTTTAAAGAGCAGCTGAGTCTATTGAAGAGGTAAGGTACCAAGTCCAAGGTCTCCTGTCAGAAGCAGTACAAGATGCTGGAGACCACATCTGCTACAGAAAGCCATTTCTCAGCTCTCCAGATGGAAGCCAGGCAGGCACTGGGCTCAGACTTGCCAGATCCTTGGGAGTTTCAAGAGGAGCCAAGAATCTGGCTTTGCATACAAAACTCGTATGCTTTTTAAGCTTTTAAGGAAAATTTTAACCAAGAAATAAAAGCTAATTTTGGCCAGAATGGCCTCTAATCTCAGGAAAGATGGTGGATAATCCTTGTAAGAGCTGAGTTTGCTCCTGGAAGGGTTGTTCCTAGTTTGGGGTCCTTGCGTCAGTTGTTTTCACTTCTGGCCTTAGTTTTCCCATCTGTAAAATGACCATTTAGGCGGAGTCCTGGTGTGGCGCTGTGGGTTAAAGCGCCAGACTGCAAAGCCATTAGAACTGCAAGGTTGGTAGTTCAAGTTCACCAGCTGCTCCTCAGAAACCCTATACAGGGTCTCTATGGGTCGGAATTGACTCAACAGCACTTTAACAACAACTCCTGCCACCTTGCTACATTTTATGTGGATTTGAGTTAATATAGTACAGAACCCCCCAACCACTTGAGATTCCCATGGTTTGGAGGACCTTCATGAAAT